AAGGTACGAGAAAGAATGACGTTTCATTATATGCACTGATGGCCTTGCGCTGAACTGTGAAGTTGACTTCATCCATCACTCCCATATCACCAACTGCAACTTTACCCGACACGCTGGCTTTGAAAAGTCTCCGAACCGATATAAATTTGCATTTGCGCCGGCATCATTTGCAGCCAAGACTATTTAACGCTCATACATATGGCTGTGAAGGGCATAAGTTAAAGCGCTGCTCAAGCATTAATGAGTGGCTTGATTAAGCTTCTTTCAGTCAACTCCTACGTCTTCCGTATGACCTCGAAATTTATATCCGTGGAACCCGCGGAACTGACATACAATGCGAAAAAGTGAGGTAGGACAAAAATAAACGCAATGTAATACTGAGCATGCCGTTTACTTGTGCGTTCTGTGCACTGCTCCTCTGAGATGGTCCCGTTGAGCGGGACCTATAATCAAAAACTTACTTGAGGGCCGGCAATACCATGAGTCAAACCCAAAGAACAACGCATTTGTGCATAAAACGCTTGCTTGCAGTGTGTCTGGCTTCAAACGATGTTTTCTCAAAGGACTAGCGGGTGAATATTGTCCTAAGCTGGCAACAGAGTCAAAAGTATTCATCCTGTCGATGCTTCAGGCGTGTGCTATAGCTGTCATCACGCTGTCATTGGTACTAGACTAGACCTCCTTCAATTAATTAGTGTAAACATATTATCCCTGCATTGCTTGGAAGAAGTTAATGAGCTATCACCCTTTTGTCGGCGCGGTGGGCTGGCTGCCAACGGGCCTGATACGTCGGCGAATTTGGTCTCGTGACCATTCACGAGAAGCTCAGCGAAGAGACATGCGCTTTATTGGTGATGAGCCGTGAATTATGCGTGTTGAACAATTCAGCAAACTAGTGCAATTGTGCACTTGTTGAACTTTTGCAATCTGCCCTGACCTTGGTGTGACTCTCATTGACTTCCTTTGCCGCAAACAATAAATTCTGTGCTTTCAATGAATCCGAGCACACCGCTGTACGGCGCCCTTCAATGCGACTTTCGTAAGCGCGCTTTTTGTAATGGCTTGGGACGCTCTCTCGACTAATGATATTCCGACTGTAAGAATCATATCGGTGATATTGCTCGTCAGCAATGTGCCTGACATAGAGGATCGAGAGCGTGCTTTCGCTTCATTTATCCTCCCTCGGGGGCAGCTGTATCTTGGAGCAATGACAAGATCTTTTCACACCAGCCACTAGTGTCTAGTCGCTTTCGCTGCCGTGAAATGAGCTCCGAAACCCGCATCGGTATCGAACGATAGCGCGCTATCTTTCATCTGATCCGACTTTTCCCAGGCTTTCACACCTCGACTCTCAGCAAAACTAGGGTGAGGACGATGACCGAAGCGTGTCACGAACCATTAGGTTCTTCTGTGAGCCCGCCAACGGAAAGAGAAGAATGTAGATGCGCCGTCCGCGGCGTCCGTAAAGCGTTAACCCAGTCTGCACACGTGGAGACGGCAGCAGCTCTGTTCTGCCCGGAGTATTTCGTCAGTCGCGACGGGTTGAGGGCGCTTGTATCTTATGCAGTGATCTCTGGGTCTAATTCTCAGGTGGAATAATAATCAACAGCCTTGGTCATTCTCACGTGTAAAATGTTGCCGCTTACTTTCCATGTGACGGGGGTGCAAGTCGTGTAAAAAATGCACAAAGCCTCGAAAAGTCTGAGCCTCTGGGTCCTGTAGCAACCGTACGTAATAATGTTCGCATATTTTTGAATTGTCACCAAATAAAAGGTTACATTCTTCCCTCCCAGGAACAAGCCATGTGCTTAGGCGTTAAGGTTCAAGGTCGGCGAAGGTCGAGGCCAATAAGTTAAGTTTACTTCCTATAAGCTTACCTGATAAGGCTTGTGATCGGGACTGGATGTAAGGTCGTACTCACGTCCTACGATTATCCCTGGGTTGCATGAAGTCAATGCATAATGTAAAAAGAAAGGGTTCCCGGCCTAAGAGATTGGAAGCTCTTATTTTAACCAATAATTGACGTTCTATACGCATTGAGGTGGTGCTTAAGTGACGTCATCAAGCAAGCACTAACTGCATTTTTTATAGGTATTTGTATGCAAGAGTTGTATGTGTATAGAGTTTCAGCAATATAGCTAATGTTTTCCTGATAACGAAACTTAACCAGTGCCTCCGGAGCTTCTGAAGGCTGATTGCCGTTGGCCTGAGACGCCAAACTCATATCGAAGTAAATGCAGTTGACATATTACACAAAACATCAAAAGACGACAAAGTAAACTTCGAAATGACTGTTTATAGAAACACAGGCAGCTAACTAATTCCTTGCATGTGTCGTTTCGTGGCCTCGTGGCCTTCGTGGCCTTTCGTGGCCATTGAATTCCTATCATTCATCTTGACAGCGTGTATGAAGTGCCTTGCTTGACAGCCACCAAAAATATGTCAGCACGCATGGTGACAGTTCATGCGCCATCGTTTCAAAGGAGAAGTCTCCTTGGACCCACCAGACGTTTACGGGCGGGACTGATAAGAAGCATAATGGTCGAGAAGCATATGTCCGGTGCTTTATGCTCAAGCCTACGTTTAAGAAGTCGGATGGGATCATAATAAGGAATATATTTGGCTATAATATTGTTCGGCTAGCATCATAATTAGGATATATTTGGCTCCAATATTGTTCGGTAGCATCATAATTAGGATATATTAGGCTCCAATTTGTTCGGTAGGCATCATAATTAGGATATATTTGGCTCCTAATATTGTCCGGTAGCATCTGTCTGACTGCAATCGGCACAGACCAGTCTGTCAAAGTCGCGTCACATATCAGCATTTCTCATCGGTGATTTTGCTGGCCTGTCTTTTTCATGCATCCTCAGTCCATAGAGGGTCGACGGCATACAATTAAAGCAGGTATATTACGTGCATATAGTAAGCAAACTAGACTATCGCTGACGGGCTACAGGAAGGAGTGTTACCGAATCGGGTGCTTCGAAGCCGAAACCATGGACTGCTGGTATTCTATGGCTGGTAAATCTGCTGGTATTCCGCTTCCCTGATTGAAACAGAAGTTTTCACATTTGTCAGGCCCTTAGCACGACATGAGAGGTAAGCTTAAACAGCGCATCCATTGGCCGTTTTCACGTAATTTTTTAGCTGCGCTTTGGCAAAAAAGACATTTTGAGCTTTTCTCGTCATGCTCAAAAACTGGTTCCAATATGCTGTGTCAGCCAACTGAATGGATTGGCATAGATACATGCATCCGACGTGAACATGTCGATAAAATAAGTACACATCCAGCATATCGATCACGCAAGCAGGAATGTAGGCAGGATCTTAGAAGGTGGGAGGGAGTGGATAAATCTAATACCCAAGCTGAAAACCAAGCTAAGCGCGCGGCAGGTGCGCCGAGTTTCTTGCGAGTCGTAAAACAATACCATGTCCTCTTGATCCTCTTATTTCTACGTCTACCTGGAGTTTTTAGCGTCAACATTTAGTCACATATGCATTAACGCATGCCATAAATTTGGCAAGGGCATGCCATGTGCAACTATGGGCGCAAGCCCCGGATGTAAACATGCTGTAGAATCATTGAATGATTTGTGTCTGATGCATAGCCCTGAGCTTCTTAAGTGGGACAGAATTAACTGGAAGTTTGTGGTCAAAGCCAGGCTAAGATACGCAACCAAATGAGATTAAACACACAAATCGTATTGGGTGGAAAGCATCATCAACATCTTCCTGCACTATTCAGCTACTCCTTTCAGTTAATGGTGGCCTCGAAGCAGATCTTCTCCCTTGTACGGAAGGCCTCTGCTCTCGTGGGCTACGCCTTTCTACTGACCGTGCTGGTTACGAGACTTTTGATTATGCATTGGGTTTAAGATGTTCGCTCTGCTCGCTCTAGTAGTTATTAGGTTTAACCACCTGTCCGCAGCCAACCAGCGCGCAATGAGACATGATATTTGGCTTGATATGTATGCATAATTGGCTATGATATATATGCATAAACCCCGATGCCGGATGCATGATTGCAGGTAATTAATCAGCCCACGCTCACTGACGGGTTTCACTGCACTGCCTTTCCAAGTCTTGCTTTCTACTTGCTTCATCTTCGAGCCAAGCATCGGACATACTGGTATCAAGCTCGATCTAGCAGCTGTTAAGTTTTACCATCTAACCTCCATTCGCAGCTACCCAGCGTACAATGCTAGCAGTACTGATGACCTGAAGGGCAGCAGCGAATGTAACCTTTAAACGCTAATGATAAAGGCTGTTAAGGGCATTTCTTAGGTTCATTGCACATACAGATAGGACAGTACTGTTAGCCTTATTTCTCGTAGATAAATCACGAAAAAGGAGAGAGGGCGAGAGGCATTGATATTTCGGCTGTATGTCTTTATCGAAACGAATATCAGTAGTTGCAGTAGCAAACATGGCCGCATAGCCACTATTCTTATTCGTTTTGGTAAAGGCATGTAGCCGAAATACCAATGCATGTCTCCTTTCTCCCGGTTATTCTACGAGGAATAAGGCTAACAGTATTGTCTTATCTAATGGTGATAGTGCCATTTTACAGCACTTAACTCCGTTTGTTTCCGCGTCGGTGGTAGGGGCTACCAATCTACCGATGCGAGATTCAAGATATCCTAGCTGAGTGTTTCACCTCACACAGGGCGAAACGTGAACCAGAACAGCTTGCGACGGGCTGTACGCCACATGAAACGGCGATGGACGCCCCAAACAACGATCCAACCGTGCGGATGTGCGGGGGGGGAGGGGTGAGCCCGGCGCGCGGCGGCCGTGGTCGGCCGGGCCGGTCTGCGGCGCGCGCCGCCGCCCGTGACCGCGTTGCTCGACCGACACCGCGCCTGCGGCGGCCACTGCCCCAATCCCGGCGTCGCGGTCCGGCCTCGGCTCCCCACCGCGGGGAACTGGAGCGGCCGACGACACAGCGGGTCTCGTGACCGCACCGCCGCCGCCGACGCCAACCGCACGCGCTGTATGTACGGACTCGTGTATTCCCGTGTCCGGCACGGGGCCGCGCCACGGCCGACACACAAACACACACGCGCGCGCGCCAGGCGGTCGTCACGTGGCGCACGTGGCGTCATTCAACTCGGGCGTCACCACAGGCATGCACACGTAGCCACGTGGTACAGGTTAACACTCCGGAACAGTACCACCCTCAGTTGTCACACCTGCGCCAGTCAGCGTCGTCCACACCTGTCCCAGGAGACATCTTTGTCGCGTCTCGCGCGCCCCCGTCGTACCCTGCGAGGCACCCCCACGCACCGCGCAGGGGTCAGCGCAGGCAAACACCAGCGCCGGCGAAAGCCTGGCCGAGCTGTTTCACGGCTGCAGGCCCCCTGCACGCGTCGCCTGTGGAGCGCGCGGATTTCTCGTTTCACTTTCCCTTTTTGCGCGCGTCAAAACGCGTCGGCTGCTGCGCGCGGAAAGCCGGCGCGCGGCGCTCCATGCGGTCCCCAGCGCGCCGCGGACGCGTCAGGGGCCGTCACGCGTCACGGCGGGGTCACGGCGGTCACGCCGTCCGTTCGTGGTTGGCACTGAGAGAGAGAGAGAGCCGCCGACCGGCGAGTGACGTCACTAGGGGCTGCTCATGACGTCACGGGCCGGTCACGTGGCCGCCACCTGCGCCAGGATCCAGCCGGTGAACTTGGAGATGCGGGTGGAGACGCCGGGCAGGTTGGGCTCGGCGCAGCCGATGCCCCAGCTGATGATGCCGCCCAGGAACCATCGGCCGTCCTTGCCACGCACCTGCAGCGGCCCGCCGGAGTCGCCCTGCCGACGCAAGGTCACGCCAGGTCAAGGTCACGGGTCACCGCTGCAGCGGGGATAGGATCACTCGGGAGGTCATCGCCCTGGGAACGGAGCCGCGATCACAGCACTGGGTCACTTCCACCGCGCATAGGTCAGGTCAGCGTTCCCACCTGGCGGAAGCCACGCGGTGTCGAAGGACAGGGTCAAGCAGGTCACGACTCCGGTCGGGGCACGCCGTCGTCATCACTATCGGGGTACCGACAGCGGACGTCCAGTCCGGGAATGGACCCCCCCCCCCCCCCCCTAGTGGACCCTGGTCCCGACGGCAGGGACCGTTGTAACTACTAGCCTCTGGGAAGTGGTGCCGTGCTGCAGTCCGCTACGTGAGAGCAACTTGTCAACAAACAGAGGGAAAACGCGTGAAATCAGACACTTCACAGCGGTACACTGGAGAAAAGGGAAGGGAAGAAGGGAGAGGGCAGGGCGGCTCATGCTACATCCGCTGGAACAACGGCAACATTATTAGCTTGACTGCCATCAACGTGATAACAAGTGGCATCATAGGCGGCGGTTGTGACATTTCACTCGGGCTGAAAAATTGCATCTTGTTGCTGTAAAGGCCGTGTCACCGTGCTTTAGAAGCGGCCATCCTTGTTTTGAAGAATAAAGCGATTAGGCATGACCGCATTCATCATTGGGAGACCCATCGCGCCATGATCCGTGGCAATGACCCACTGATCCAGATGACCCAGACTGGTGATACCGTTTATAATTCAGTCAGTCGCATTTAACGCCTTAGGGCCATCTGATATGGAACAGAAATGGTAAAATGTTCCTGTTGTTGCTGCCTTGAGGGGACTTAATCTTATTTCAGATGCACCTCTCCAGTCTGCATGGAATCATCATCCAAATGAAGCGTGTTCCCATCCAGATTCCACATACCGAGATTGTGTCAACGTGGAACGCACTCGATTGCGCATGTTTGTGCATGAAAACACTGCGATATGATCATCTAGCGGTTAAGTAATGATGTACGCCGCAGAGGAAGCCGGTAAAGACCTTACGTATCTTTTTGAATTCCCACATCAGAACGTAATATATGTGTAGTTTGGGGAACTTCTCCAACACGTTGATGAATTCGGCAGTATACGTTTACAATTGACGAACGTCGCCGGTCACGCGATGGATGCGTCGTAGCATACGAAACCTACATTGTAACACTCAGTTACAAATACCCACATTGCTACCGAATTCCATCACATAACCCAAACCCATTGACGCCATGCAACGTTCCACATATCAATTCCAGAGCCAGCCAAGGAAAAGGTGACCGGTCATCAATCACCGGCCCGCCCTAGCCCGGCCTGCCAGCGGCGCACACCGCCAAGCGTTCCCGGGCGTGTCCGACGGGCCGTCACGCCCTCCCACAGCCGTGCGGCGGCGCCGCGGCACGAGGGCGCTGAAAACGAGAGTGCGCGCCGCCGCCGCCACTGGGTCAGCCGCCCGGCGCGGCGGCGGCGGCAGCGGCGGCGGCGGCGATAGCGGCGGCGGCGGCGGCGGCGGAAGGTGGGACGCATGGCCGCCGGCGCGGCGCCGGCTCCCGCGACGGCCAGGGCTGACCGCGCTCCAGTCCGGCGACGGGGTGGCGGCTGACGTAGTGTTCTGACGCAAGGTTCGCTTTGGCGCTAGGGTGAATGCAAACCTGGGCGGGAATGTGCTGTCCTGATGGTGGGCCGACAGACCGTGCTATGTGGTGTGATCAATAGGGCGTAGGAGGGACGGGGACTGGAATTAAATATTGTCCATGCATCGTCATTGTATAAGTGCTAAAATGAACGAGAGGTGAGAGGCATGTCCCGGTCGGTCCCTGTTTGTGCGCCCACGAAAAAAAGTGTGTACGATGCTTCCTTTGCGCCCTGGCAGGGCTTCTGGAACATGGCCTCTCGCAAAAACGAACACAGACTCAATCAATGTGCTATCAACTGATGCCATCATTTGTCTCTCTGCCTTGTCCTTTGCCCTCCCATTTTATTTCTCGCCTTCCCTCACCTCTCCTTCTCTCTCTTTTCCTCCCCGCTCTATCTCCCTCTCCATCTCTCTCCTCTCCCTCTCTCTCTCTCTCTCTCTCTCCTCTCTCTCTCTCCCCTCCCTCCTCTCTCTCTCTCTCTCTCTCTCTCTCTCCTCCTCTCCCTCTCTCTCTCTCTCTCTCTTCCTCCCTGTTCTATCTCCCTCTTCTCTCTCTCTCTCCCTCTCTCTCCTCTCCTCTTCTCTCCCTGTCTCTCTCTGTCTCTCTCTCTCTCTCTCTGGCCTCTCTCTCTCTCTCTCTCCCTCTCTCTTTCACACTCTCACTGCCTAAGTCCCTCTTTCTCTTTCTCCCTCTGTCTCTCTGTCTCGTCCCACCTCCCTCCATATCTCATTTATCTTCCCATTACCCTGGCCATGCTCACAAACGGGCCGCCTTCTGCCACCCACACCCGAGGGATAGTCACGCATGATGGCACAGAAACTCACCTGGCAGGCGTCGGTGCCTCCGCCCTCGTAGCCGGCGCAGAGGAAGATCTCGGGGATGTACTCCTGCCGGCCGGCCTTCTTGAACATCTGCTTGCACTTGCTGTTCTCGATGATGGGCACAGTGGCCTGGAACAACGCCCCAACCAGGTCAGGCGGTTGAAGGCGCCTGACAGGCGAGCGGGCGGGTGGCCGGCACGACGCCGGCTTCGTCCGGACACGGCCGCGGCCGCCGCCGCTCGGGGACGCAGGTGACGCGCCGTGTGTCTGGATGTAATCAATAATCTACCAGCCGTCATCAGCATTGCATAATATGCTAGAAGCTCCCCGTCATGCAATGCACCTCGTCTCCAGCACTGCCGCCCATGGGCGCTGACCGACAATACCTCACTGCCAGCACAGGTCCGCTCCACATCCCGTGACCACCACGCAGCCGCCGCCGGCCCGTCAGCGGAGCCGCAGCGCCCGACGCGCCGCCTGAATCACGCCCAGCGCTAACAAGATCTGTCGCCAGCCGGCTGTTTCGTCACCGCGGTCACGGACGCGGATGTGGTGGCGTGAGTCACGGTGCAGCGTCGCTCTCGCGGTACGTCGGCCACCAGTGCCGCACGCGTGCATGACTGGGTGCACATTGCGTAGTGGGGGCAAGCACGACACGCAACAGCCACGCAATCCTCATCTAAAAATCCGAACTCTAAATCCGCTATACTGTGAGACTGTGGCAGCGCCTGCGCGCACGTAGCGCAACTGATTATGATGATTATGCTGTGCGTAAGTAGGTGAGCTGATAGTGCATACGGCGAGAGAGAACGCAGCCAAACGTGTGTGTGCGCACCCATTAACGCCATTAAGCTCATGTCCTACGTTAATGTCCTACGTTGCATATACCGCAGAATGCCGTGGAGGTCACTAGCATTGTAAAGTCTACAGCCAGGCGTGCTAAGAATGCGCACGCACGTGTGCCATGCATTCATGTGTGACGCATTCCATACGTACGTGCCTGATCGTCCACCAGGCGCTCCACATTCCCTTCTCTCCTTTTTAATACCTCGTCCTGCAGCTGCGTTCCCTCTGTTTGTACGCTTCCCCCATCCCCTCAGTTCGTGTCCGTGCGTCCCCTCTCCGTGCCTGCCCCTCCCCATCCCTGCCCAAGCGGTCCCCCTCCGCCCTACGCCACGTCTTCCTATCTTCCGTCCATCTAACTCGCTGTCACAGAGGGCCAATCCCATCCCCGTTCAAAGCGGGCTTCACTGCGCCTCCGTGCTCCGACAGCGTGCTCACCTGCTGCAGCTTGCTGGGCTGCTGACCTCCTTCGCTGAGCCTGCCCCAGCCGGTGACGGTGGCGTTGTCGCCCACCATCAGGTCGTCGTTGCCCGGCAGGCAGACCGGGTGCACGTTCGGTGCCAGCTTCACCGGCTTGTCCAGCTTGACCAGCGCCAGATCGTACTCGAACGAGTAGAAGTTGTACTTGGGGTGCACGATCTTGTTGACGGCAGCGCGCTCCTGGTACGGATACGGCTCGAGCAGGGATCCGAAGTCGTACTCGCCGACCCGGATCCGGATCTGACTCAGCAGCAGACTGTGACAGGATGGACAGGGGTGAGTCTACGGTGAGGTGAGGGGGACAGGAGTGAGTCTACGGTGAGGTGGGCCATGGACCGTGAAGAGACGTAATTCCACGTCTTGCAAGAGACCATACCCATTTACGCTTCATGTCGTATTTACTTACGCCTCATCGTACGCGCGGCTGATGCAGACTCGAGAATACCTTATGACAGAAAGTGTCTCAAGGTTTTGAGATTATTGCGCATGCATGTTTCACGAACTAAATTGATCTCTTCACAGCCTCCACTGTTACCTTGCAGATGGTAGCAGGCAGACAGCGTGTTGTCATGACCCAGTGCAGAGAGATTCATAAGAGTGAGATTAACTCCTTTAACCAGATGCTACGCGCAGTCTAACGTCCTCGGATAAGCTTTCACATACGAGTCCCGGTTCATGGAAGTGTCTCAACTATTTTAACGCCGAGCCATCGCATGGCCCTCTAACCACCACACACGTGGTGGCTACCAACTCAACCAACCTCAGCCTACGGCTCAATCAAACAACGCCGTCCGCATTCTGCCAGGAAGACCCGCGGCCGGGACGCCCAGTGCCCGGTGCTCACTCACTCGTCGACGCAGTGACCGGCCGTGGCGACCCACTGTTCGTTGAGCAGCGCGCCGCCGCAGCGGTGCTTGGTGCTCAGGCCGAAGAAAGAGGTGCGGCGCACGGACACCTGCCACGGAAAGCCGCCGAACGGCGCCGTCCGACCGCCGACGATGCGCGCCGCCGGCGACTCGGCGCCCAGCGGAAACAGCGGCGGTACCCCGCACTCTGCAAGCGGGTGATGGTGAGGCGTGGGAGAGAACGGCGGAGGGTCGCGACACGGGGGGACAGTGTCGTGGAGAGTTATATAGAGAGGGCGGCAGAAGAATGCCACACGGTGGAACGGTGTGATATGCAGCACTATAGAGAGAACGGCGGAAGAACGCCACACGGTGGAACTGTGTGGTGGGAATCTAGTAAAGAGGACGACGTCAGAATTACCCCGCCCCCTAATCTAGTGGAGTGGGCGACACTGGTCACGCGAAGGAACCCAAAATCTTACCGCTTAAAAACGGTCCAGCATGTGCAACTTGTGTCAGACATCACACACAAAACATTGAAGGAAACCACTAATCGTACCACATATTTTACAATTTTGAAGAGCTGGTTCACGATATCCGACATGTATTGCCAAGACGACGTTTCCTTTCTCACACCAAAACTACTGCCCCGTGGCGACCACATGCCCTCGCCCTACATCCCCGTGGCGGCGCTCACCTGCGCCGCCATCGGCGGAGGCGCCGACCGCAATGGTAGCGTTGAGCTGCGCCGGCGGGGCGGGTGAGCTGCTCCCAGGCTGGCCCGGGCTGGTGGCCACCGGAGCAGTGGAGGAGACGCTGCTTGACGTCACCGTCGAGCCGGGGACAGGCGGCCGCGGAGGTCGCGTGGGTCGGCTGGGCCGCGGCCACGGTGTGGACACGCTGGCTGGCGAGGCCGGGGCGGGGCTCGGCCGAGTGGTCGTAGTTGGCCGCGTGGTTGTCGTGGTTGGCCGCGTGGTTGTCGTGGTTGGCCGCCTGGTTGTGGTGGTGATTGGCCACCTGGTTGTGGTGGCGGTTGGCCGAGCGGTGGTGGGGGCGCACCGCGGCCGCCGCCACCGACGGCGGCCTCGTGGGCCGTGTGGGCCTCTCCCACAGGGTCGAGGGCTTCTCGTGCGGCCGAGGGCCCGTCGACACCTCGTTCTGCTGCGCACTGGCCACGAGGGTGGGCCGGCCGCCGGCCCGCCGGCCACACACCGGAGCCGGTACCCGCCGCCGGCCGGACCGTGGCGCCGGTGCCGGAAGAGTCCGGCCGCTGACTGGTGCCGCCCCAGGACGCGGTGGAGCCCCAGCCGGCCGGGGAGGAGCTGGAGCCGCTTCCGGCCTGCAGCAGCGAGGTCCAGCCGCCGCCGGGCGCCGCCGAGGTCGGCGCCGGCAGCTCGCAGCAGCCACCGAACATGAAGCGGTCGCTGCAGATGCCGACGGCGGTGCCGCCCTTCTTGGAGCACTCCCAGACGAACATGCAGACGCCGCGCCGGCCGGCCGAATGGCACGGCTTCGGCCGGATGTGGTGGCCTGAGTCTGCCGGCGGCGGGACAGGTGGCAGGTCAGCCGGCGGCCACGTGGGAGGGGTGGGGACGTGGGAGGGGGAGAGTCGCACCGGAAGCTGCCACGCGTCACACGGGGATTGAACATAAAAAACAGTTCTGAAGTCTTTAACACGCACAATTATACAGAATCAGCGATGAAATCAGCTACATTAAACAAAAAGTGCCTCTATAGAAGTTTAGTCCGGCGTTTCACCCATTTCATATTCTTTTACGGCGAGTTTCAGCTTTGTTCATACATCATGCAGCTTTGACAGTGTTGATCCTGAAGGACCATCATCTTGAACAGCTTAAGTGCTGTTTTATGTTCGTTATTAACATTTTTTAGGAAACATTAGCATCTTTTCTACCATCACACATTCTTAAGGTCATTTGATGTTATATATATATATATATATATATATATATATATATATATATATATATATAAGCATCAAACGAGCATCTAACAAAAAATGGTTTCAATTGTCCAATGATCTCGCCGCCGTTTGACCTCGATATCAACCGTGACCCTTGACCAACATTCCGCCGCGACCGCTGCAAGGCACGAACTCCCATCCGAAATTGGTCACGATTGACCACGCCACGAGGCAGACACGTTCACCGGCGAGAGGCGAGAACCACGGTGCGCCATTAGCCGTCCAGTCGGGCCACGTCAGCATTCAGCTGCGGGCAGACGGAGCGGCGGCGGCTCTCAGCCGGCAGCGAGCGGCGCGTGAGCCCGAGCGGGAGAAATCCCCGCCGCGTTCTGCGGGGCGGGGGGGGGGGGGGCGCGACACACATCACCGGGCTGGGCGCCAGCCGCCCCGCCGCGCCCGACCCACATGTGGTGGCTGGGGCCCGCCGGACACTGGACGGGGTGGGCCTGTGCGACTGCTGCCGACGCTGGACCTCTTCAGCTGTTGGCCGACAGGTGAAGGGTAGCTGACTGGCAGCTGGTCAGGGATGGCCCAGCTGGCCTGAGGGAGCCGTGATGCTGCACTCATCAGCGTTGAAAATTACTTGTCCATCTCTGTATGCATACATGAAGAATTATCGTGGCTAACTCAGGAAGACTTCGGTGATGAACTTGAATTGCATCACACTGGAGGATTATTCAGGTCTAGTTACGCATCAAACAATGCACGTCAAATACTCTGTTATAAAATCAGCCCTATCAACACCATCAGCACACATCGTAAACAACGGCCCACAACCCAGCTCGTCCGAGGGCGATCTCATCTGATTCCCGGAGCTTCGGGAAAGCAGCGCTGGCCGGCGTCGGGCAGCCGTGGGCCGCGATGTGTTCAACCGATACCGCCGCTCGGAGCGCGACCGCTAACGAGGTCATTCGACGGATCAGTGGAGCTCTCTTCCCCTAGGGCAGGGACACCAGCCCCACAGCGGCGCGAGTCACCGCTGGTAGACACGACCGGGCACCTGGCACAGAGTATGGCCGCGCTCAAGATATTGTGTGTTTTTTTATATGCGTCACGCAACAGACGCATAGGCTCCTGCCTGTTCTTCAAGGTGGGAACAAACTCGTTAAGTGTGCCTTTGCCCGCCTTTCATACCGCACGCGCTGACCGTGGTTCTCGTGGATTTTTTATCCTTGGACGTCACGCCCAGCCCTACAACCCCATCGTAAACGCCGAGGACCGAAACATTAAACAAGTCTCAGGCCGGAGCTAATGACGCGTTACGGCAGCGTAACACGCTAATACGCAGAACCTTTTAGCATGCGGCTGCCGTAAATACCGGGCATACCACAACACAACAGATGAAGCAGGATACGGCCGCCACCACTCGCCAACCGCCCCACGCAGCTGGACGCGGAGGCCAGGTCCACGGGCAAGCAGTGACGAGTTTCCAGTGCCGACAGCTGGCTTAACACTCAGCTGGCTAAACGCTCAGCTGACCCACAGCTGGCCAGACCCACCGGCGCGCGGTAACGAGTTTCTAAAGCCGATAGCTGGCTGAACGCTCAGCTGGCGAGGCGGAACGGCCAGCTGACGGACGGCTCGAGAACCGTGACCGTGAGCCGAGACCGTGGCCGCCGGCGCGCCGCCGTCCGTGACGCGCGCGCCAACAGGTGCTCCTTTTTGCGGGACAGGCCACAATCGCTGCAGCCGCTTGTGGTGAAACCTTCCCCTGGGGGGTGAGCCAATCATGGACGTGTTTGTCACGACACATGTGTGGTGTGAACTGGCTGCATCCCGCAGTGTGGAATAAAGACTCTCTGACGCATTGCCAGGCCGCTGAAATCAGCTCTTCTTTGTGATGGCTTGATGGGCGTGTAATGACAGTGAATGTGTAATCCCGGGGTATTTAACCAATCCACAGTCGTTATTTGCTGGCAGCATGACGTGCATGAACCGTGCATACCTCCACGTGCATGAACCGTCGCGAGCAGCACGCATGGCATTACCTACGGCTCGCAGCGCCCATAGACGCGCGTCAGGATGATGCTTCTCCACGCAAATATCAAGCCTCTTCGAACACGGAGTGTCAAATTTTCATGTCAAATGTCAAAATGTCAAATGTCAAAAATCATGAATGTCAAAAATAATGTTCATGACGTCCATGTCCATTGCTGACTCTGCCGGAGGTCATGCTAACGTCCAGCTTGTGAAAATGACATGAGCTCGGCGGCGCCTGTCGTCCGGTAGGAGAAGGACGCTTAGCAGGTGTGCCTCGCTCACAATGTTTACTCACGAATGGCTCGGCCGTCTCGCTGGGCGGCGCTCAGCTGTTGATTCTGCGCTGGCACGCTTCTGGTGACGTCATAGGAGTAGTATCCACCAGGTAGCCGGACTTGCGCCAGAGAGACGTGAAGGAACAGAAGCGTGGATAAAAGCAACGACACTTCTGCTGACTGGCACGATTTCCTCTTCCATGGTCCTGTAAACGAAAAGAATAGTTAATGGTTTTGGTTGTGTGTTTGGACATTATGGTAGAAACTCTTCACACCCGCGAAACTTGGGAGTCTTTCAGGAAGCGATCCAAAGGCAAAAATATTTGTTATCAAAGAACGCCACGCTGTGGTGCAACTTCACCGTCCCAAAGTTTTCTTTGCCGTGGCAATGCTGACATGGCCCTCATCCAACATTTCCCCGTCTTACGTTCCTTGGTACTATCACTATCTAAGGACTGCGTGTAAATGTGTATGTGTAAATGTATATGCGTATAAATAAATGCACTCAACAAAAACTTTCATCCAAACTTGCGCTTACTTGAACAGTGCTTTTTTTAATTTGGGTCGATACAGTCTATAAAAAAGAATCGTGCTCATCCGTGGAATGCAATACAACACAACCAAAATGCCGCAATATTAACAACCGTGCCCAGTTTTGGGGTGCGGTATCTCAATACAATCCGAAATCAGATATTAAGGGTTAGCCATCGCAACACTACCGAAGTTTTCACCAATAAATTATAGCTTTCGGATTCGTTGCTTAGCGTCGCATTGATAATATCACAACAACTTTTAGCGTGACATTAAAACAAAGCTATGTAGCAATTACCATGAGCTGGCTGTGCGCTGGCTCAATGTAAGCGGCGTTTCTAGCCATCTATCACAGTCCTTGTTAATGAGCTCTACAAAACGCATTAGTCATTACCGATGGATCTCATCGCACATAACAACTACTCTTGGCCATAACCCGCAAGCCATCGCCACTCGCAAGAGCGTGTTCACGTGAGCAGTGCATAACAATCACCACAGCATTTCCAGTGGTAAACGCCGTTCGCCATCCATCAAACAGGATTGTTGGCTGAGGTCATTAACGCCTGGGTATTGACTAATGTCCAGAAAATTACCATGCTCGTGCGAGTCTGAAGCACGTTCCTATCTGTAGACCAGATTCCAAGCAGGAAATGGGAACAATTAGAAACCGGCGACACACAATATATGCATGACTTGGCTGCCCGGAAGCCCCGAGACAAGACGGAATCACGTAATGCCATACCTTCAGCGGGCACAGCCCTGGACTCCACCCGTGTAGAGCAGGAATGTGTACGGTTCAGAAAAGAAACCAGGAGCTTATGCGCAGGATAGGAGAAGCAATTTTCTTTGCTCTGGTAGCTAAAGTCATTAGAAACTCAAACTTCACACCCGTCAAACCTTGTATTTTTTTCTGATACCAGCGCAGGCACCAGCTACGATGCCTGTAATGTAGCTGTGAGCAGATTCTGCACAATGCTGGGCTAGTTACAAAGAGTCCATGAGTGTGGCCGTAATGATGAGCTCTGCAGTAGCTGCATACGCGTATTGTTGAGAGAGAATCGGCACGTTTGTTGGCACGTAATAGCGAGGTGTGTTAGTGCAGTTTATCACAGAGCGTCTGTTTTCGTGCGCCCTTTTCTGAGATACTGACCTTGACCGTTGTAATTAGACTGAAAGAAATGCGCCGATTGTCTTTAGATCCCAGCATGCCTTTTCGAGCATAGAGTCATAATCATTCGCCTTTATGAACAGTGACTTTGCAACTGTGACGTCGCACGCAATGGCGAGAGAAGAGGCACCTAAATACAAAACGGTCCGACACATAGACATTGTAAGTCATTCTTCATCAATTGGCCATTAACTGTTTTCGTTCATGAGGAGTACGTTGACGAAAACAATCAAACATGTGATATTCAAGCGGAGTAAACCTATCAACTGATCGGCTCGTTTAATCGATTGGCTGATTGAAACATTTTGTCATCTTTTGCAAAATAATCCACGCTAAGTCACTCACAAACATCGCAAGCTATCTTTATAGCCTCTACGTGAATGTCCGCTCTTTGGTGTGAAGGCAGGAAGAGAGGGAGAGATAGGGAGAGAGATGGCTTATTGAGAAAAGCATGGTTTAAAGTATCAACTCATATACCGCGTGTGCACAATATACATATGAAGAAAGATACTACCTAGTTGATAATATATATATATATATATATATATATATATATATATATATATATATATATATGTTTATATGAGTGGTTATATGGGGAATACTTGACTTGCGTAGTGTCATGCCACAGCAAAACGTTTGGAGTGTGCTTGGGCTCCTGGTATTTCTGCCGGGGATCGCCACTCGCTGCTTCGGAAGCAGATCTCTATGCATGGGAGACGCTTGCACTTGCTATCCTGGCCTTAGGCATAGCTTTTCTCTTTTGTCAGCAAAGGTTTCCATGCCCAAGCGTTGCAAGATGTGCGAGTACTTTTCTGAGTGGCCGAAGATGACTTTCAAAGCTCTCTTCTGCGCTTTCCTAAAGTGTTACGCCTGCTTGGCAGTGAGTCCGCATGAAAAACCGGCGCACAATATTCTAGCAATGGTCGGATGTAAGCAACATACACACGAACAAGCGGTTCCTGTGGTGGATGGTGCTTCTTCATTATGTAGAGCATATATAAAGCTTTCGATGCTTTGGTTACAATCTCATCCACATGTGCTTGCCATGACATGTCATTTGATATTGTTACACCTAAAAGCTTAGTTTTGATGGCAGTTGGCAGGCTTTTTCCTTGAGTCGTGATGTCTCATGGTGCTAATGGTTTTTGGCTGTTAAAAAAATGTATGACTTGACACCTGTCGGTGCTCAATATTATCTTGTTTGCCGTTGCCCAATCATTTATCTTGCCAGTGTGCTCTTGCAACTGGCTGCGTCGATCTACTTGGTCAATTCGACACGCCTGGTATATGGTAAGGTCGTCTACATACTTCAGTCGATTGTCAATATCGGCAGCGGCACCGTTAACCACAGCGAGGAAAGCAACCGGGCCAACTAAGGTGCCTTGTGGATTGCCGCATGTTATGGTTCTCCAACGACTCATGGTTCCATTTGGCATATTGACCCGCTGCTGTCGGTCCTGCAATAATGAGCATAGTCACTTTGCATACCCGGAGCGAAGTCCCATTGCAAGCATGTTCTGGATAACTGCTGTGTGGTCAATAAGGTCAACTCCCTCCTTAAAATCGTTCATAACCACAGAAAATAATTTGTCTGCTTCGTCTAACTCCGTCGGCAAATCATGCAACAACCTAATGAAATAGTGTGACGCTGAGGCACCTTTCATATTTCCGTATTGGCGCTTATCTATGCTTGGTTTTATATCCGCCATAATTTGCGGAAAAATAATGTTTTCCAAAAACCTTGCTAAAAGTCGGTGTGAGGCTCAGCGGTCACAGATTTTCTGGCAACTTGGGCGATGTTTTCTTTGGCACAGGGGTGATTGTTGCTCTCTTCCACACCAATGGCACGCACCCTTCATGCAATGACCGGTTGGAAATGTGAGTAAGTGGTACGGCCAGTTCCACAGAAAATTCCTTTAGTAGCCGCACTGGAAGTTGTCCAGTGGGCACAGCAATATTTTCTTTCAACTGCGATAGCTGAAGTGTTTACTCCTACATCCTTGTACGAAGGACACAACATTTTTGCACAGAGAAAGTGTCGAGCCATTAACTATGCACACACTTAATTATGCACAGTTGCATTAATGAGATTTTCATGACCATGCAGAACTAGTCTAAGAGCTTGTGCCTCCAGCCTTCTGCTGCAAACCTTCGGTCCTAGTTTCTGGAGGTATTGACCTGATCTACTTTTATTGGAAAGGCATTTAACATTCACAGCCTGGTCAATGCATTCCCTCGCGGGTGCAGAGGGAAGAGACCACGTGCCTGGTAGAGGTAAAGAAAGAGAGAGAGAGAGAGAGAGAGAGAGAGAGAGAGAGAGAGAGAGAGAGAGAGAGGGGACAGAGATCTAATGATTGAGTGGGTAGGTGTTTGAGTGAGTTACCGAGCAAGTTGGATGCAAACACGTACAGGCTGCAAGTTATCAACTAAAACATTGAAAAAGGTACAAGCTAAGTATTCTCAGTGGCAGCGTAATTTTTACAACATTTTTTTGTTCATGAAAGTTAATGTTACGCTAGTTACACCAAAAGAACAGCAAAATCTAACCGTGCAGCTACATCTCATGCACACCTCGTAGCATGTTATGCATGTACATACACACACACACACACACACACACACACACACACACACACACACACACACACACACACACACACACACACACACACACACACACACACACACACACACACACACACACACACACGCACACACACACACACACACACACACACACACACACACACACACACACCACACACACACACACACACACACACATATATATATATATATATATATATATATATGGTTTTTGCTCGTACTTCGCTGCGATTCATTCGCTTTTGAACGCATTTCGCGCAAACAGCATTCCCATCAGACGACGCATTGCCAGCTGGGCACGAGTGAACAACGCTGGAGAAAGCATGGCTCACTCGGAAATAGCAAACACCTGACAACATAGCAAAGGGGTTTGCGTGCTTTGTGTGGTGCGAACATTCCTAATTTTGATCGCAGTGCTCATAAATTTAGTTATGTTGTTGTTTCGTGGTTTGTGTCTAGCATGGAATTTTGACAATTGCGTGATGACGCAAATAATTTACATGCATTTTTGCTACCTGTTAAGCCACCCTTGTAAAAGAACACCCTGTGTCAACGTAGAAGCTGTTGCGGCGGTATATGCAGTTACTTCCCATCCCGCAGTAAGTAGCGAAATCCTCGCTGGGAGACTGCAGCAAATGGACAGGAGCACATTTTGTGTGGAAACTGCAACAGAGCGTTGGGCGACATCCGACAGCACTCGCGGAAAAGTTGTAGCGTAGGACTTGAAGCACACAAGACGTTTTTTGTATTTGTGGCATCACACACTTAAACGTTTACTACCTGTTAGATTATCAATCTTTCCTTTGAGCCGGTTACCCCGGTCACTAAGCGGGAGGGTGTCCGTCCTCTCTGCGTAATGCCTGGGTGGAGTTGATATCATCACTTTCAACTGACATG